GCAGGAGCCAGGGCAGCCCTGAGCACGGCCGCAGGCAGGACTCGCCCCCACGTACTCACACTTGTCCAGGGAGCAGGCCCAGCCTGTGCCCGCGGCACCGCCCTCCACGTGCCACATCTGAGGGGAGAGATCCTTGTTCCAGCCCGGGCCTGGCGCAGGGCCCTCCCGCCCCGCGTGTGCCCGGCCTCGTGCTCACCTGTAGGCACTGCCCCGACTGCACGTCCTGTCGCAGGTGCTGCTCCAGGAGCCCGGGGGCAGCAGTGTCCTGCCAAGGAGACCCAGGGTGAGTCCGGCCCCTGGGCACAACCCGGCAGGGCAGGGGGCCCGGGGCTGGCCAGGGCAGCTTACCATGCTGGTGGAGCTGGTGAGTGGGACACAGGTGCCCCGCTCCACAGCGCAGAGGGTCGTGCTGCCCAGGGGGTCTGCGGTCTCCACGAGGAGCAGGTCGGCCGGGCGGGCAGGCAGGGTGCCTGGGAACAGAGGACAAACGAGCATTCACGGGCACAGGGCAGCAAGCTGCCCCCGGGGCCCTCAGCTCTGCCTCAGGTTTCCTATGGGGCCAGAGCCCCTCCACCAGCCCCCCCAGGAATGGCCCCAGGAGCTCCCCCAGGCAGGCTCCGCGCCATCCCGGGGCGGTACTCACCCTCCTGCAGACACTGTGTGAGTCGGACCTGCCCCTCGCTCCTCACCTGGCAGAGAGAGGGGTCAGCAGGAGTGGGCGGCAGACCTCAGCCGCAAAGGGGGCTGGCCTGGAGCCCTGCGGAGGCTCTTACCTGGATGCAGAGGTTCGGGTGAGGCTGCAGTGCGTCCAGCTCCTGTAACCCCTGAGAGGGGAGGGGGCAGCGTCACGTGTGTCCCCAGCCACGCAGGGCCTAGCTCTGTGCCACTGGGCGCCCGCGGCAAGCACCCTCCCACCCCCTTGCAGGGCGCTCTGCTCCAAGGAGAGATGCTGTCCCTGCCCAGCGCTATCCGTCCTCCACCCTCCTGCTTTGCCCCCAGCCGCCCAGCTCCCCCCGGCAGGCAGACCCACTCACGGGCAGGGTGGCCTGGCGCAGCTGAGGCAGCGCGGTGCAGGGCCCGGCGGGGTCTGGTCGCCAGCAGGGCATGAGCTCGGCTGAGATGTCACACGGCGCAGATATCTTGTAGCTCAGCGTCCCCTTGTTGACACGCAACTTCAGCTGGGTCTGCGCCCACAGCCGGGCCCACGCAGCAGTGTCTGCAGGGAAGGAGTGGGGGGGTCTGGGCAGCAGCCATGCATCTGGTCTGCCCGCCTGCCCACCCCCTGCCCACATGAGGCGCCTCTTGGGGCCTCCAACCTGGCCCCAGCCCTGCTGGGCATCCCTGGAGCCCCTTTAGCCAAGCCACACCCTCCTCAGTGCTGGTCCAGCTGTCCCTACCATTTGAGAAGGGGCACAGGATGGTCCTGGGCGGGTCAGGGATCTCGGGCCAGACCTAGGAGAGAAGCAGGGCAGGAGGAGAGCCCCCTGCCCAGCAGCACCCCCTGCCAGCCCCATGCCCCTGGTGCCCCCTGCCAGTGCCACTCAGCTGGGCCTACCTGCAGGCAGACGCAGGGCAGCATGTGGGCCTCGGGCAGGCTGTAGTTCTGGGGTGCACTCTGCACCCAGGAACGAGACACTGGTCACTGACAAACCGGGCCCAGCCAGCCCCGGCCCCTGCGGGCAGCACAGCCCCAGGGACAGGGCACCCCAGGGCTGTGCTGGTGGAGGAGCTGGGCCTGGAACATGGGAGTCCAGCTGCCCGCTGCTCCCTGCCTTAACTGCTGGGCCACTGCTGCCCAGGGAGGGCCCAGGGCCCAGCCCGCACTCACCAGCATGGTCCTGTTGCTGAGGTTGGTGCACCCCTGGGTCTGGTTGCGATAGACCCACAGCGTGTAGTTCAGCCACGCAGGGACGGCCACTGGCACCTCCACTTGCAGCTGCACCACTGCCTCCGTTGGTCTCGGGGACACCTGCAGCCTGGGCACTGCAGGCACAGAGAGTGAAGCTGGGACCCCCGCCCCACGCCGCCCTCCAGGGACCCCTGGCCCCGCTTGCTGGCGTGGAGCTGTCTGTCTGCCCAATGGTCCCTCTACCCAGGCTCCTCTAGCTCCTGTGGATGCCAGGGAGCAGGGTGGGCAGTTCCCTAAGCACCTACCTTGGCACAACTGCATGGCATCCTGCACTGCCGGCCAGGAGCAGCCTGCAGGGAGGAAGTGCAGGTCAGCAGGGCTGGCAGCCAAGGGGGAGGGGCTGGCTGTCCAGGGGGATGGGGCACTCACTTGGCATGTGGTGGGTTTTGTTCAGCACCTCGTGGTAGAGGGGCTGCGTGTAGGACATGACGAGCACCTTCGCCTGCAGGGGAGCCTCGAAGCAGTGGAACCGCAAGGAACCCTGGGGAGTGGACAGGCGTCCGGCGGGGTCACACAGCACCCACCTTGCCCCTCCCAGCACCTGTGCCCTGCGGTGGGAGCAGAGTGCCTGGTTCCCAGCACGGTGCTGCAACCCCTGGGCCCTGCCACCTACCACAGTGCGGCCAGGGTGCGTGATGGCCCTGTGCAGCTGGACCTCGATGGCGGCGCAGCGGGAGGATGATGGGCTCTGGGCCGAAAGCACCAGCCAGCCCCGCAAGGCTCCTGTGGGGAGAGGGGGCAACAGGAGCGGGGCAGCACAGAGTCCCCGGCAGGGCTGGGCAGGGCCTGGCCACGGGGCACTTACCACCATCCCTGGGGTGCAGAGGGGCTGCTCCAGGCGTGTCTCTGGTGCCATCAGCTGCCACCTCCTGGGGCCCTGCAACAGCAGCGGCCATTTGCGAACTCCCCACGAGCACCTGTGCCCCCCAGCTCACCCAACCTGGCCAAGGGAGTTGCTGCCCGACCAGCCCTGTTCCACCCAGGGCCTTGCCATGCACCTCCTCGAGGGCATGGCCCCCTTCCCCCTGGGCTGCGGGGCAAAGCCCGAGCATGGCCCCCCACACACCCCTGGCCTGGCCCTCACCCAGCACAGTCAGGTGCAGGTCCACGCGGAGGCAGGCAGAGCAGGCGCGGCCATGCCCGCAGCGCAGCTCCGGCTCTGTTTGCAGCTGCGTGGGCACCAGCACGGGGCCGCGAGGCTGCACCTGGGTGCCAGGGCTGCACAGCACGTCGGCCTCTGTGGGGGTGGAGAGGGGGCCTGTACCGCCGGGCACTGGAGCAAGCCGTGAGCCCTGCCCCGGGCTGCTGGGGCAGCACCCTGCAGCCAGGCAGCATGCCCGGGTCACCGGCCGGGTTGGGGGACACTCACCCAGCAGCTGGCAGGACAGGCCCTGCAGGGAGAAGGCAGAGGTCAGAGCCCAGCCCCTGTCCCCACGCAAGCCCCCCTGCCAGCTCCTGCCCCCACCCCACAGCACCTCGCCACCCACCGCAGCCCTGCCCCGCAGCAGCCCTGCCAGGACCCCTGTCCGTCCACGGGTGCCGCATAGGGCCGCAGGCGGCAGTGGGAGCCCTTGTGGGTGGCCTGGCTCTGCCCTGCTGCCTGGCTGGTCCCCAGAGCTGGCCCCAGCCCCAGGCAGGGCCCAGGCGTCACTGCCACTGTGGCTTGTGGAGCGGTGCCAGCACTGCCAGGCTGCAGGTTTGTTGACTAAGCTGAGCAAACAGCTGCGCGGGGGCCCTGCCGGCTGGGGGAGGGCCAAGGTGGCAGGCTGGCAGCGAGGGCAGGCCCACCTGGAACCAGCCCAGTGAGCGCAGTGCCCGGTGCCACGTCCCAGCCTGGCCCTTGAGGGCACCGGGGGCCCGGCAGCCCCTGCACGCACCTGGGAGCAGCTGACAGAGGGCCAGGCTGTGCGGGGCTCCACGACAGGCAGCAGTGCCAGGAGCAGCCCCAGGAGCAGTGCCTGCATCGCCAGGTCCCACTGCCTCAGAACCAGCCCTGGGGCCTGCGCCACCCCACCATGGCCCTGCCGGCCACAGGGGCAGCCCCGGGCCGGGGGCCTGGCTGGGCCCGTGGCGCAGAACTGGCTTGGGGCGGCCGGCTCTCAGCCTCAGCGCCTGGGCCTGTGGCACGGCCGGCCTGCGCACGTCCGGCCTGCCTGTCTGTCCCTCCCAGTCCCGGCTCCCTTCCCCTTCCCCTTCCCCTTCCCGGGAAGCAGGTCAGAGGGCAGGTGTGTTCCCAGCTTCCTGCTGCACCTGGGTCCTAGCGCAGGCACCGGCGAGGCGGGGCCTGGCTGCTCCGAGCTGCGGCCTGGCAGCACCCAGGGGCCCCGCGGACTGAGCTGGGGGGTCTGGCACGGCTGCCCGGTGCCCGCGCTGGCTAAAGCTGCGGGGCCCCGAGCCCCTGGCCCTGGCCCGTCTCCAGGCAGCTCTGCTCACCAGGATGCGGCTGCTGGGACTCCTGCCTGGGGCACCTGGCTGGACTGGAGCTGTCCGCGCTGGCGAACATGCCAAGCCCAGACATGGCAGGGTCGAGCACCAGGTCGCAGCTGCGTCAGGGCTAGGGCTGCTGGGCCCACCAGGCTCCCCACAGACACTCGGGCCCATGCCCGGGCTCCCTGGCCTGGTCACTGCTCTTCCCCCCAGCCCCCAGGGCAAGGCTGCGAGCCAGCACTCAGGCGGGTGCCCTGGAGCTCTCCCAGCCCCCACCGCCTCCCAGGAGGGCCGAGGCCAGGCTGTGTGGGGATCCTGGCAGCCCCTGGGGATGGCATCACTGCCCTGGGCTCGGCCTGGCTGCACCCGGGCCCCAGCCAGAGCCCTTGGAGGTCCGGGCACCCAGGCAGTTGCCTGCTGCCCCCCCGCAGCTTCCCAGCGCAGGGGCCTGCGTGTCCAGCTCCCCCATGCGGCGTTTCTCGGCCTGGAGACAGCCTTGTCGCTTGCTCAGCCCCGGCCGCAGGGCTGGGGAGCTTCGGGGCTGCTTGCAACCCCGGCTCCCAGGGCTGCCCTGCAGCAACCCACGCCCCCAGGCCCTCCCCTGCTCAGTCCCCCTGGACAGCCACACCTGCCAAACGCCCATGGGGCCTGTGCCCTCATCCTCGTGGCCCTCCTCGTGCCACATGGGCAGCCCCACTGCGCCCCCCGCGCATCTGGCCCCATGGATGAGCCAGGCCCTCTGTACTTCACAGGCTCTTTTATTCAGTCCACGGGTCACCCCGGCCTGGCCCCATGGGCACAGCTCGGAGGTGCCCGCTCTGCCCAGCCCCGGCAGGTGGAAGCCAAGCAGCACCTGCCCCGTTAGGGCAGACTCCTGCCCCGCAGCAGCCCCTGCCTCTGCCACATCTGTCCTCCTCCAAGGCACCAAGGACGAGCCAAGAGCTGCCATCTCCATCCTCGCAGCCCAGGGTCCCGGCTCTTGGCACGCCCTGGCTGGCAGGGCGCACCGTCTCCGGCACCTGGGTTCCCCGGGCAGCCACACCGGCCCCGAGCAGTTCCCATCTGGTGACTTGCAGCTCATCCACGACCTCGCAGCTAAGTGCAGGGCTCCAAGGCAGCCTGGCCCTGGCCCCAGTCTCCCAGGCTAGGACCTTGGCTCTCCGTGCGGCACCAGGCCCGGCCCGCGGGCACGTCCTGCAGGGGCTCTCAGGAGCCGCCGAGTCTCCACGGGACTGCAGGTGCTGCCTTGGGCTGCAGCTGGCGGCACAGCTCCAAGTGGCCCCGCAGGCCCTGGCTCACCTCGGACGCGAGCAGCTGGCACACCAGGGCCTTGGCGCCCGCCTGGAGCCAGCCGTGGGGCAGGGGCCTGCCCTGCAGCACTCCGGCCAGGCTGGGAAGCTCCTGCGGCAGGCGGTAGCAGGGCAGGGGGCGCAGGGCCCGTGGCACGTCCCGGCGACTGCACAGCTCGCTGAAGTAGGCCAGCACCCAGTCCCCTGGGGCCCCGGCCCCTGGCACCTGCTGCAGCTCACCCAGCAGACAGCCCATGGCTGCGCTGAAGAGGTCGGGGGGCTCGCAGCCCCTGGCACCTGCCCTCCAGAGGCGGTAGAGCCGGGCGCTGCCACGACTCCAGAGCAACAGCACGGTGCCGCGCTCACGGCCCACGTGCTCACGCTGGGCGTGCAGCCAGGGCAGCGCACCCAGCTGGCCCACGTGCCGCGTGTCCCACAGGTCCAGCCGCACGTCGCAGCCCAGCCCTGCGTGCAGCAGGTCGGCCAAGGCGCACACCAGGCGCCGGTGCTGCTCCGAGTCGGGCGAGTACACCAGCAGCACGGGCCGCTGCCCTGGGGCCACTGCGGGATGGACAAACAGTGGCTCAGAGCCTCTTCAGGTATGCAGTCTCGCCCCAGCCCCGGCCCTGGCTCCAGACGCAGGTGGAAGGTCAGGGCGCCCAAGCTGTCGCCCATCTGCCCCAGTCCCTGGTTCCGTGCTTGCCTCCGTAGCTGCCTCCCACTCTGCCCCTGCTCCCAGGAAGCCCTGGCCCCTGGCACCCGCACGGACCCAGGACCCCACCTGGTGCCCGTTCCTCACCTGGGGGCAGCTTGCAGAGGCGACGACAGCTCCACAGCAGCACAGCAGCCAGCAGCACCAGTGCCAGCACCAGCCCCAGTGCCAAGAGCCCGAAGCGCCTGTGAGAGACTGAGATGACTGGTGGATGAGAGGAGTCCACGGTGCCATCCCCAGGCCCCCCCCTTCCCTGCACTCACCATCTGGGCATAGGAGCTGTTTTCGGGCAAACCGCACATCCGAGCGCCACACCTGGGGGCACAGAGAGCGCTGGAGTTGGCACAGCATGGCCAGGTGCCAGGGTGAGGGGTACCCATGGCAGAAAGGGGTGGGGGAGGGATGGGGCCCTTACCAGCACGCAGCTGCCCAGGATCTGCACTGGCAGGAGCAGGACCAGCTCCCCGGGGCGCGAGCCCTCTGCCTGTGGGGAGAGGACGCATGGGACAAGCAGCCCCTGTCCTGGTCCCGCAGCCACCCCTTGCACTGCTTGCCCTTGCCCTGACAGGCAGGGCAGGACCCCCACCCTTGCACAGGGCACAGCACTCACGTGCGTGACAGTGTAGACAGGGGCCGCCGGGTCGCAGCGCCCTGCACGCTGTTGGCACAGGGCCGCGCTGAAGGCCGCTGGGATGCTGGAGGTGAAGTGCAGCAGTAGCTGCAGGGGCCAGAGGCTCATGGACACATTCCAGGCCGTGTCTGCAGGGACGAGGCATGGAGACATTGCCTGCGGCGGCTACAACCGACCCTTTTGCACCTTGGGGCTCAGAGCTCCTATGCACAGAGCAGCCCCGACCCCAGCCCTGGCTCCGCTGCCAGGGGAGGGCAGCAGAGGCAGGCAGGCAGGGAAAACCCATGGCAGGAAGCCCCAAGCACCAGGAGCCACAGCCCCCGAGCCCTGCTCTGCCCGGACTCACCTTTCCGGTGTGGGCACTCCACATGGCTGCTGTTGGCATAGGAGAACTGGGGAGGACGGGGAGGTCAGCGAGAGCTCCACTGCAAGGTCCCCCCACCCCCCTCATGCTGCGCCTGGTCTGGCCTAGAGCCTCCCACAGCTCCAGCCCAGGCTGACGCTCAGCCCAAGGTCCCCTCCACCCTGCTCCACTGAGATGGGGCATCACAGCATGGGCCACCTGTCCCAAGCTGGGCACCTACAGACTGGCCCCAGAGGTGGCTGTGCTGGACAGGGGCTGTCAGGAGCAGCCAGCACCTCCTGCGGGCAGGGATGTGGAGGGGTGGGGGCAGCCTCTGTGGATGTGCCAGAAGTGGAGACCGGTGTGGGCTCACCTTGAAGCAGAGCTGTGGGTGCACGTCCACCTCCTCCAGGGTGTAGGTCTGGGCAGAACAGAGGGCATGTCAGGATGCAGCAGTCCTGCCTGCTCCCACCCACCCTGCCCTGTCCTGGGAACCTGCGCAGAGGGACTTCACAGCAGCTCCAGCCCGAGTCCCGTGCGCTGGGGGCTCCGAGGCTGCGTGCCCCTATGAGGCCAGGCTGGGCTGTCCCCACCCCTGCCCCAGCTGCAGCTGCAGGAAGCCAAGGGGGGCAGCCCCTCAGCTCCAAGGGCCGGGGCGTGTCACCCTGCAGCTGCAGGGCCCTGGAGAGCGCTGGGTGCAGGCTGGGTCTGGACCATGCTGCCCCCAGCCCGGCATTCACCTGCTCATCCTCGGCAGCTGTGGAGTTGGGGACGTCGTGACAGGCCGTGGGGCTGGCATCACGCTCTTTCCAGCACAGGGCGGCGGTGGCACGCAGCGGGCAGCGGGCGCTCAGCGCCATGGCCATCTGGTCTCGGCCGCTGGTGCTGTAGTCATGGAACTGCACTGACACCCACAGCTCAGCCCCATCTGCGGACACCGGCCGTGGCATCAGCCAGGGATACCAGCAGCCCCAAGACCCTGGCTACAGGCTGGCCCCACGGTCGTCTGGGCCAGACCCTCCAACTGCCCCAAGCAGAGCCACCCCCGTAGCCCCAGGACACTCACAGGCTGCTGGATGGTCCCGGAAGGGACAGCGCTTGGTGCGCAGGCCGTCACGGTGCAACCAGGAGGCCTGGGGGAGCAGGGAGGTCAGGTGCCACCACGGACTCTCTCCCCAGAGCCACAAGGCTGGCCCTTGCGCCCCATCCCCTGCCATGGCTGGGCCAGGAGCAGGAAGCCCTGGCTGGGCTCCTCCCCATGGACACAGACCCCCACGCGACTGGCCACCAAACCGCCCCTCTGGCTCCCCAGCTTCCCCACACCACCCCCAGTCCTGGCAGCCCCCGTCCTTCCTCCCCAGCTCCCCCCGGGGTGGCAAAGCCTGAGCCTGCCCACGCCCCGGCAGGGCACGCACCTCGATGCAGAGACAGGGCAGCAGGAACTCATAGGGCAGCACGGCACGATGGCCCCCGTGCACCAGCACCTGGGGGGAGGAGGGGAGCAGCATGAGGGCTGCAGTGCCTGAGCCGGCCTGGCCAGATGCTCCAGCCTGACGCGTGGAAGGCAGGGGGGCATTACCTGCTGGTGGAAGGGGCGGTGCAACTCCTCGCACTCCAGGGTTAGCTGGTGGCAGAGCCGAACCATCAGGGCAGGGCCCTCGGGCACTGACACTGCGATCGCCCGTGCTGCTGGGAGCCACTCGTAGGAGAACGTGGGGCCTGGAGACCGTGGGCATGGGGTGGGCATGTGCAGAGCCCTCCCCAGAGCTCTGCACCCACCCAGCACCCACCTGGGCTCATGACCAGCCCCAGGCAGGGCCCTGCCAGCCTGCAGCCCCTGCCGCTCCCAGCTGGGACCCCTGCCCTTACCTGCTGGCTCCGTGGCAACGAGGAGGGTTTGGTTGAGGCTCAGGCCCCGGTCAGGGACCGTGCCCAGCGAGACCAGGACACGGCGCCCGCTCTCCACAGGGTAGCAATCAAAGGCCCCGGGCCCCCAGTGCCCCCAGGGGGAGGGGGCGGCCTAGCAGCTGGGCACTCACCAGTGCGCTCCCTGCCACTTGCCGCCGTCGCCACACCTGCAGCCAGCCGGCCCGGTTAGAGCCCAGCTCCAGGAAATGCAGCTGCAGCCCCCGGACGCCCCCAAGGCCTGGGAGAGAGCGGGTGGGAGCCCTGGGTCACTGCCCCTGCCCCTGCCCCACAGGCCCCATGGAAGCGCCCCAGGTGTATCCTGCTGCCCAGGGACCGTGTCTGGTTGGGGCTGCGGGCCCTGCCCAGACCCGGGGCTCCTACCACGTTGCCGGGGCAGCTGTACCTGATGCGTGCAGGGCCAGGCGCACGCGTACGCAGGGCTGGCAGTCCTGCCGGTTTGGGCACAGCTGGGCCGTGCTCAAGGCCAGCGCTGGCGGGGGCAGGAGCGGCTCATTGGGCAGGCCCCGCTGGCACCGGGGCCGGGGCAGCGTGTGGTCCACTGCAGGGCGAGAGCATCGGGTGAGAGGTGCCAGGCTGCGGCCCCACGGGGCTGGGGTCGCCCCCACCGTCCCCACCCTCCCCCTCCCCGCACTCACCGCTGGCTCTGCAATCCTGTGGGAGGAAGGGGCACGTGTCAGGCGGGCCCGGCAGCAGGGGCGAGCCCCGCGCCGG